GTGTTGGATCTTGGAGTTACAAACCGTTGTTAAATGCCATGTGGGTGCTGGGAATTGAACCCAGATCTTCTCGAAGAGCAGTCAAGTGCTATTAACTGCTGAGTCATCTCTCCAGTCCCTTCTCTCTCTCTAATTGCTTACTTTTTTGTTTGTTCTGTTTTGTTTTTTGAGACAGGGTCTCACTATGTAGCTCTGGCTCTCCTGGAACTATCTATGTAGACCATGCTGGCCTTAAACTCATATAGAGATCCATCTGCTTCTGCCTCCTGAATGCTGGGATTAAAGGCATGTGCTACCACACCCTGCTTAATACTTTTCAACTGTAAACTAGTTAAATATATATTTACGTGTATGTGTGTGTGTGTTTATGTCATTTATGTTCAGATGTCTTCAGAGGCCAGAGGAAGGCATCCGATACCCTGGAACTGAAGTTAAAGGTGGTTGCAAGTGCACCAGCCTGGGTTCTGGGAACTGAACTTGATCTTCTGAAAGAACAGCAAGTGCTCTTATCCACTGCGCCATCTCCATGTCTTCCACCTTTAAACAATTTTATTTATGCATATATGGGTGTGTGTTTACATATATTGTTTTTTTTTTTTTGTGTGTGTGTGTGTGTGTGTATGGGGGTGTATGCCATGTGAGGGAGCTCAGAAGAGGATGTTGGATCCACTGAAGCTGGCGTTAATAGACAGTTGTGAGCCACCTGATGCGGGTCTGGGAACTGAACTCGGGGCCTCTGGAAGAGCAGTGAGCACTCTTAACACAGCTGAGCCATCTCTCCAGGTCTTTGCTTTTGTTTGAAGATGTATTTATTTTCATCTTATATGAATGGGTGTTTTGCTTGGTACCTGTGGGGGTCAGAAGAGGGTGTCAGATCCCCTGAAAATGAGTTATAAATGGTTGTGAGCTGACATAAGGGTTTAGGGACTTGACCCCAGGTCCACTGCAAAAACAACCAGTGCCCTTAACCACTGAACCATCTCCCAATTTAAAATGCATTTATTATTATTATGCTATGTGAGTGTGTGTGTGTTCACATATGGAGCTCAGAAGACAACTTTGTATAGTTGATTCTCTCCTTCCACCTTTAGATGAATTCTGGGGACCAGATTCAAGGAGCCAGGCATGCCAGGCAAGCCCCTTTACCTGATGAGCCATCTTGTGGCCCTCTCCATTACGTTTGATCTTTATCATCAGTAGAGCAAGCTGAGCTGGGAGGAAACTGTGGAGACAGCCACAGGATAGCAGCAGCTATGGAGGTGGGTTACAGGAGTCCCTGTCTCAAACAATGACAATGACAACAGAAAGGGCAAGACATGATATTTCCTACCTGTGATCCCAGACCTGGGGAGGTGGAGCAAGTAAGATTAAAATAAGTTCAAGACTAGCCTGGTCTACACAGAAAGTTCCAGCTTAGCCTGGTTACATAATAAGACCCTTTTTTCAAAAACAAAACAATAGAGGGCTGTGAAGAGATGGCTCAGCATTGGCTGCTCTTGCAAAGGACCCAGGTACAGTTCCCATCACCCACATGGCGACTCAGAACTGCCTGTAACTTCAGTTCCAGGGGACCCAATGCCCTCTTCTGGCCTCCACACGTATTAGACACAGCAGGTAGTACATGCACATTTGTGCACATGAAACACTCATACATGTGAAAATGAACAAAGATTTTTTAAAAAATATTTATTTATTTATTTTATATCCCAGCTGGTTTCTCCTCTCTCCTCTCCTCCCAGTTCCTCCCCCATGTCCCCTCTGCCCACCCCACATCTGCTTCTCCTTCATTTCTATTCAGAAAAGGGCTCCTGAGAGCCTATGAACCAGATTAGTTGTTTCTGTGGGTTTTCTTGTGATGTCCTTGATCCCTCTGGATCCTACAATCCTTCCTCCCTTACTCCCTAGAGGAATCCCCCAAACTCAGCCTAATGTTTGGCTGTGTTTGTTTGTCTCTGCATCTGCCTCCATCAGTTGCTGGACAGTGCCTCTTGATGACAACTGGGCTAGGCACCAATCTACTAGTATAGCAGAATATCATTAGGCATCTTTTTTGTTTTTTATTTTGTTTTTCAAGACAGGGTTTCTCTGTGTGGCCTTGGCTATCTTGGAACTCACAGAGATCTGATGGGGGATGTCCTTCTGTATATATGTTTTTCTTATTGGTTGATGAATAAAATACTGTTTGGCCATTAGAGGCAGGAATATAGGCAGGGTTAGGAGATGAGAATTCTGGGAAAATAGGCAGAGAGAGATCTCGAGGAAGGAGTAATAGGTCTGACCCTTCTCCAGTAAGATAAGACCACATGGAAATACTTAGATTAATAGAAATGGGTTAATAATTAAGACAGAGTTAGCCAATAAGAAGGCCTAGCCTTGGGCCAACAGTTTTATAATTAATGTCTCCATGTGCTTATTTGGGGCTGAAGGGCAGCAGGACCTGGCAGGACAAGAAACCTCCAGTTACAGAGATCTGCTTGCCTCTGCCTTCTGAGTGCTGGAATTAAAGGTGTGTGCCCACTGCCCAGATCATTAGGCACCTTTACATTTACATTTTTTTCTCAAGTTGTGTTTAGTTCAAAACACAAGTGACAGCTCATGCTGGAGAGGATGTGGAGCAAGGGAAACACTCCTTCACTGCTGGTGGGAGAGCAAACTTGTACAGCCACTTTGGAAATCAATATGGTGGTTTCTCAGAAAACCGGGAATCAATCTACCTGAAGACCTAACTTTATCACTCTTGGGCATATACCCAAACGATGTTCAATCATACAACAGGGACACATGCTCAATTGTGTTCATAACAACCTTATTCATAATAGCCAGAACCTGGAAACAACTTAGATGTCCCTCAACTGAAGAATGGATAAAGAGAATGTGGTACACTTACACGATGGAGTACTACTCAGCTATTAAAAATGTTGACATCATGAAATTTGCAGGCAAATGGGTAGAACTAGAAAAAATCATCCTGAGTGAGGTAACCCAGACCCAGAAAGACAAACATGCGATGTACTCACTTAAGCGGCCATGCTACAATCCACATTGTAGGTAACAAAGAGGGCCTAAGGGGAAATTTATGGATCTCCCTGGGAAGGGGAAATAGAAGAGATTTTGTGGGTGGAATATGGGTAGGTGGGGATGGGAACTTGAGTGATCAGGTGGGGGTGGGGGAAGAGTAGTGAAAGAGATGAATGAAAAAAGGGGTGCGGCCCGGGCATTGGTGGTGCACGCCTTTAATCCCAGCACTCAGGAGGCAGAGACAGGCAGATCTCTGTGAATTTGAGACCATCCTGGTCTACAGAGCAAGTTCCAGAACAATGCAGAGAAACCCTGTCTCCAAAAACCATAAAAAGGGGGGGGTGCATTTCAGGGTCAGAGTTGAAACCTGGTGCAAAGGAAACTTCCAGGAATCTTCAAGGATGACCCCAGCTAAGACTCCTGGCAAAAGGAGATATATAGCCTGAACTGTCCATCTCCTGTGACCAGGCAAAACTTCCAGTGGAGGGATTGGAATATACTGGAGTAAAGGTGGCACAGAGGTTGTGGGAGTGGCCAACCAATGACTGGTCCAGCCTGAGACCCAAGCCACAAAAGTGAGCCCACCCCTGACACTGCCTAGATCACCAGGACCCAGAGGTTGGATGGCCCAGAGACTTAGGATAGAACAAATATTTTTGGTTTATTTTATTTTATTTTTATGTTGAGACTGGGTCTCACTATGTAGCTCAGGCTATCATGTAACTTACTATGTAGACCCGGCTGGGCTAAAACTCACAGAGATTTGCCTGTCTCTGCCTCCAGAGTGCTGGGATTAAAGGTGTATAACACCCACCAAATATTAAAAAAAAAAAAAAAAAAAAAAAAGGTGGCTTAGCAGTTAAGAGCACTTGTTCTTACAGAGAACCTAGGTTCAATTCCCAGCACCCACATAACAGCTCAAAACTGTTTCTAACTCCAGTTTCAGGAGATCTGACATTCTCTTCTGCCTTAGGAATGCACCTGATACATAGACATGCATACAGGCAAATACCCATACACAACCAATTTTTATTTTTGGAGACAGGGTTTCTCTGTGTATCTTTGGAGCCTATCCTGGCTCGAACTCAACGGAGATCTGCCTGCCTCTGCCTCCTGAGTGCTGGGATTAAAGGTGTGCGCCACCAATGCCCGCCCAACCATTTTTTTAAAAAAAATAAAAATAAAAAAATTGAAGTCTAAAACTTCATATTCTGAAGAAGCCTGTATGCAAAATGCCACCAAATAGCAGAGACAACAATAAACAGTTTGACTGAGAAAGCAAGATTAGCTTTTAATATGTTTCCTAGAATTAGTTCAGGGTTTTCAGGTTTGCAATCCAAAGAATTGGTGAGAATATTCCAGAAGACAATCTTGGGAAAAAGAGGAAGACAAAAAAGAGGAGTAGGAAAAGGAAAAAGAAACAAAAAAACCAAGGCTGGTGAAGCCTAAAGTTGAGTGGACACTACATAAACAAGTGTGGTGGTACATAATTGCAATCCCCACGAGTTCTTGGGAGGCAGAGACAGCAAGGTCAAAAGTTAAAGGTCATCCTTGGCTATACACTGAGTTAGGGGCTGGCTGGGGCTACATAAGGCCCTGTCTTAAAATAAAAATTTAAATAAGTAAAGGAAGTAGCAGCTATTTTATTTTGTTTTTGAGACAGGATTTCTCTAGAAATCCCTTTCTTGCCTGGAATGCCATATGTAGATCAAGGCTGGCCTTGAACTCACAAAGATCCATCTGCCTCTGTCTCCTGAGTGTTGTGATTAAAAGGATGTCTGAATATTAAATTTTCAAGTACAAATAAAATAAAACCATCTGGGTGGTGGTGGTGCATGCCTTTAATCCCAGAACTCGAGAGGCAGGTGGATTTCTGTGAGTTTGAGCCTAGTCTGGTCTACAGAGCTAGTTCTAGGACAGTCAAGGCTACACAAGGAAACACTAAAAATAAAAATTGAAAAAAAGAAGATGAAACCATGTGTTTGCTTGGGCAGCATACTTGCTAAAATAGGAATGATACGAAGATGATTAACATGGCCCCGTACAAGGGTGACATGCAAATTTGTGAAGTGTTCCATATTTTTGATTTGTTACCAAGGATGCTTCTTTCAAAACTGATAATGCTGAACTATCTTAAGTGACATGCTAAGCCTACTTTGTTGGTTGATGTAATGGAACTTAAGAAGACCATGTAAGAAAAAGATACATTACTGCTTTTCCTACTTTGATCATTTCCAGTGAGTAAATAGATACTTTGAATGGAAGAAAAAAAAAAAAAAACAATGAACCAGATGGTGTAAAAGATATATAAGAAATAATGCACAAACTGGGAATGGGTATGTAAGTCTAATGGCTCATGGAACTTAAAAATACTGTTAGACCCCCGAAAACTCAAGTATCCGGGGTCCCAGGCCACATTCGCGGTCACCCCAATCACCAGGTGGATTCGAGAGCTTGCTGCAAACTGCACGAGGCTTTATTGTAATTTAACAAGCTAACCCCATGTTAGCTCGGGTCTTTCACCCACCCACCATGGCGGACAGCTAGAAAAGACGGCTCCTAGGGGCTCCCAAAAGATCTTATAGGGCAGCGTAAGGGGAGTGTCTAGG